TAGAAGAGGCAGAAATGCTATCTGTTTGACTGAGCTGCTGCATAGCAATGATGACTGAATGCGGTATTTATGTTAATCAGGTTTCGCTAACTCCAGTTCATGGTGCATTTAGAAGGTTCCAGGATATGTGAAAATTGTCTTTAACTTTCTTCAAGTGAGTCTGTAACACTGACAATCAGAAGCTGTATTACTTACCACAAAAGAATATCTTCAAATGAGTGGAAGGATACCAGAACAACGACAGGCCAAGAGTCACAACCGATGAAAACGAAAATTGAACAGGCCTTCCACGTTTACTTATCCAAGAACCATCAAATCACACAATGAAGTTAGCTGAATCTGATACAATTACCGTAAAAAATCAAGAGTCCTCATTAGTGGGAAACAGCCTGATACAGTGGTTAGGACACTTGTTTCCTAAGATTCTCGGTTTAAATCCCATTAAACACTTAAAGATGGTAGTAGTCAAAATATAGTTTGCTTTAGTAGAAAAAGTAAGATTATTTTGAATATTAATTCAAAATATCAAATAGTTAACTAGCAAGATAAAGCAATTGTAATCCACTAATTAATGTTAACCAAGTAATCTTTATTAATATTATTATGGCATGTAACATTTCCATTCTTGTACATGACTGTTTGCTTTACGATACAGTACTTAACACCTGTTATGGTTTATATGTTCCAGAACACTTCCAGAGCCTTATTTGGAACAGGTCGTTAGTCGATTGAAAGAATTCAACATTGAAGCATTGTTGGTGATTGGAGGATTTGAAGTAAGCTTCACTAATTAAAGTAACGAATTCTTTCAGAAAGACACGTATTTTGTACTTTATAAATTAAACTTGCTTTTTTATGGTCATTTAGCCTAATATCTCATTCTAGAAATTGTTATGGTTGCAGTTTTTCATGTGCATGAGAGTTTCTTAACACATTTCACAAACTAAAAATCAACATTGTTATTATTAAGTATTACCATCAGTTATTATTATTATTAACTGAGTATTACCACCAACATTATTAGCACTAAACTTTTAAAACAACAATTCACTGCCCATAAATTACTTACCTCTGTAATCTCATTCAATGCTGTATCAGCACCAAGAGAGAATTCTGTCCCAGGTACGTTGTTACTGATGGTTGCTGGAATGACACACATGGGTATCCTAAGGGTAGGGTATCTGTCTCTGTTTTCAGCCAGCTGCAAGACTGTACGAAAGGCCTGATGACAGACAGGAGAAAAGTTTGAGTGACAAACTGGCAATTTAAATGACAATATAGTTTCTTAACACATCCACAAACTAAAAACTCATGTACACCTGCAACCATAACAATTTAAATTATAATATAGTTTCTTAACACATTCACAAACTAAGAACTCATGTACACCTGCAACCATAACAATTTAAATAATAGTTTCTTAACACATCCACAAACTAAGAACTCATGTACACCTGCAACCATAACAATTTAAATAATAGTTTCTTAACACATCCACAAACTAAGAACTCATGTACACCTGCAACCATAACAATTTAAATAATAGTTTCTTAACACATTCACAAACTAAGAACTCATGTACACCTGCAACCATAACAATTTAAATAATTGATAATACTCAGTTAATAATAATAATAATAACTGATGGTAATACTTAATAATAACAATGTTGATGGTAACATCGTTGGTGGTAATACTCCGTTAATAATAATAACTGATGGTAATACTTAATAATAACAATGTTGATGATAATATTTAATAATAACAATGTTGATGGTAATATTTAATAATAACAATGTTGATGGTAATACATAAAAACCTTATTTTCAGCATTATAAACCTTCAGACTTGCTTCTGTGCCACTAGCGGGCATATTATTAATAATTAACATCAAAATTACTATTATTAGCTTAGTATTACCATTAGTTATTATTAAAACTGAGTATTACCATCAACACTGTTATTATTAAATATTATCATCAACATCGTTATTATTAAATATTATCATCAACATTGTTATTATTAAGTATTACCATCAACATTGTTATTATTAAGTATTACCATCAACATTGTTATTATTAAGTATTACCATCAACATTGTTATTATTAAGTATTACCATCAACATTGTTATTATTAAGTATTACCATCAACATTGTTATTATTAAGTATTACCATCAACATTGTTATTATTAAGTATTACCACCAGTTATTATTATTATTAAGTATTACCACCAGTTATTATTATTATTAACTGAGTATTACCATGAACATTGTTGTTATTAGATATTACCATCAACATTGTTATTATTAAATCCATTCAAGCTGTCTCCAAGCATTATTAATGAAGACTTAAGTAGAGGCCACAAATTATTTAACTCAACAGTTTACCTGAGTATAAGTCCTCGCTGAACACCTTCTGCCATTTTAGCCTGCATATGTATCACGTCATCCATCAACTGTTTGATAGAGAACGGTTCCTCAAAGATATGAGCAGCATCGGCACCACCGGCTAGGCCGGCAAGGGTTGCTAGATAACCACAGTAACCCCCCATTGTTTCCACAACAAATACCCGACGCTTTGTTCCTTGTGCAGACTGTCGAATACGATCACAAATCTGGAAAGAAAAAAAAGATAAAATAAAACTGAAAATGATCAAATTCTTGCTTTTCATAAATTATTAATGATTAATAGCGTGACAAGAAAAACAAAATTAAAAATAAGTGTTTCAGTTGGGGCTTGAAATAAAATATTAGCGGCTCATAAAATTTAGTACGAGGAAAAAAAAACCTCCAGTTATGAAGTTACACTTGCCTCAAACATGCTTATGCTTTATTGCAAATAAATTTAACATAGAAAACTGTTAAAATCCTACTTCACAAGACAAAGTGCAATATCCTCAGCTTCCTGAAATTTCCATTTGAAGCATAAATTAGGGAAGTCTAAAAGTAAAAATAGCATAAGACTATGGATATTAATATGTAATATCAAGTGAAATGATGTTAATGTTCGAGAATCATGTTGCAAGTGAAATAAAATTCCTTATGTTGTTCTAATAAAGATGTAAGTTTAAAATACACATGTTTTTATAATTATGTCCAGTCAAATAGGTGAATATTCAACTAATCACTTGGTAATCTCTAGTTATTGTAAATGACGGCGTGATAGTTGACAACTTTGTTAAAATGCTTTCAGCTCACTTTATAATTTATAAAATTATTTCATCTTTAATGCTACTACAGCAGACAAATTTGTTCATAGCCAGTGAATATGAAGCTGATTAATTAATTAATTACTGGTGCCAGTAATTGTAAAAAAATTATTGTGTTCGTTGTTAAGTACAAAGGTATATAATGGGCTGTCTATGTTTTGCCCACCACAGATTAATGAAGAAAAACTTTAATATAAGTTTAACATAACAGCAAATGTACAATGTTTCGACAAGGTTTTGTCATCATCAGGTACAAAACTTTGTCGAAACGTTG